GCTTTGCCGGCTCTTGCGCCGTGTTTCTCACGTCCTGGAGTTCTTTCTCTGGAAGGCAGGCAGGCACACACGCGATGCACCCTGGCGAATAACGAGATCAAAACGAGATCAAAACGAGATCAAAACGAGATCACCGATCGTCCGTTGAAGAGTTTGGGCCCACATGTGCCGAACCCGCGCCCACAAGTTCACTCACTTCTGCACTCACTGCTGCACAAACGCCAGCCAAATAGTAAGCACCCCCGCTCAAGCGCAGCCGCTCAGCCCTGCAAACACGCCAGGTTAGTCCGGGTGAGAGGAAAAGCAAGGCGCCGACGACTCGAACCAGCTGTAGCAAAAGAGACGTCAAGTCTCAAGATGGCGAAACACACTGTAAACGCTCCCAGGCGGATAGGATACAACATGCCTAAACCATCCTAAACCCCACGCAATAACAATTTTCCACTGCAATGCCTCCCAAAAGCCTATCCCTTCAAACATGCAGAGTTCCTATGCGTTTTGGAAAGAGGCACGACTTCTTCGAAGCCCTCTCCTCCATGGAATTTAAGCAACGCCTCAAACGAAAGCACGACTTTGTCAAATCCCTGTAGCTGGGGGACCCAGTTCTCCTTTAGGGGAGCCTGGAAAAAAGAAGAAGAAGAAGAAGAAAAAAAGGCGCGACCAGCTTACCGGCGCCCAAGGGCCGGCCCCTTCCACCCCTTTGACCAGACGCTTCAGGTCGGCCTTCTGCGCTGCACAGCCAAGAAGCCGCAGAAAGGTCGGGAAGTCAATCGCCTCCTGATCCGTGGCGAGAAATGGCTCTGGGTGCCTAATAGGGAGTCTGTCAAAAGGAAAGACAGAAAACCCCCTGTCAAAATAAAAGAAAATACCCTCCCCCCCCCCCCTCCCACACCCTCCCTCCCCCCCCCCCACACCCTCCACTTCTACTGTCCCTTTGGGTAAATCAAAGATGTTGGACGACCATCCTTGTGACTTTGTCGCTTTGGTATCGCAGACATTGGATTCCCTCTTCACCCACACGTCCGGCGAATCGATTCGCCGGACGCGTGGCGCCGGATGTGTGCGCGGGGCAGTGGAATGGGGTGGTCTCCCATGACCCCCTCTACAGACACCAAGGTTCAAAACCCCAAACCACCAATCCAAATGCCCACTGAAGGGTAGCCTGTGTACAGTGGATGGTTGCAACATCCATTTCGCACCACTTGGAAACCATGGTTGAAACCATCTCGCGTCTCGGAAATAAATGGGGGAATCAAAGCACACCAGGGTTCCTGAACAGTGGTGCCAAATGGATTTTGTCCATCCGCAGAATGTCAGTATACCCATGCGTCTACAAACGCAACGCAGGTCAGAAGCGCTTCTGAAGCAGGCATGTTGCCTCTTGTTCTGGCCAGCCATCCGCTTGAGGTGCTTCTCCAATACAGGTGTCACTGGATTTCCCCGCCAACAATTGCAACTGAGTGACGGGCCGGGCCCTATGAAACTGTGCAACTGTTGAAGGACCAAAAAAGATAAATGAGGGACCACTGCAATAGGGTGCAAATGCAACAATCTTGCTGTAAACGGGCGTTTGAGGTCTGAAAAAGTGACACAACATTTTCTGGAAGGGTCGATTCTGCATCGGGCAATAACAAGACCGCAACTTCCGGCCGCAGTGTGGAGTGGGGGGGGGTGGGGGAAACTGATTCACGGAGAACCTACTATAACTCCCAAACCGGAAAGGGAACACTAGAAGGACCAGGCATTTATTGCTTCAGATTGTTATATATTGTTATGAAAGATGGAAGCCAGGAAGGGGCTCCCTTCCCATGAATCTCGGTCAGCCGATTCCAAAAGTCCTTGCCGCCCTGCAGCGCCTCCAGCGCCTGCAGGTCCAGTAGGAGCAATGGCCGGCGCCCGCAAAATGGGCAGGGGTCTGTGCACGTTTGCCTATACCTTTTGCACCTTGAAAAGGTAAACTAAAGGGACATGACAAGCGCCATTTTCGGAGCATGTCGACCCCGGATACAAGTAGAACTGATACCTTTTGCACCTTGAAAAGGAAAACCAACGGGAACCATTTTCCGAAGCATGTCGACCAAGGATATACGTAGAACTACCGGGAGCCAAATTAGAGGAAGCCATGATGGGAGGCCAGGATTTCTGGCGATTTTCGGAGGTGCAAGGTGATCCGGGTGCGTTTTCAGGTGGCAAATGCCCGACATGGACCCCTGCAATCCCAATCCGCTAGTGGAATCTCCGACTGCGGCCCAAACCATTCGTTTCGCGGCATGGCAACTTCCGGAGGCATCTAAGAAACATAAGTGGTAAATGGAATTAAACCCATCCAAACCCGGTATTTCTACTCAAATATTGAAAGACACCTCCAAGAAATTCGGCCGCCCTAATCATGCTTTCCCCTGATTTGAGTCAAATCTTGACTTTTTGGGCCCGGATGAGTTTGCTTTGGGAGGATGATGGTTGGGGACATTTGGAGAAACCAAACGGGCGGCTGGAGGGTTGTGTGTTTGCCACGCTAAGAAGACCCAAACAAGCGGAAATCAGGAGTTCCCCTGAAAATCATGGGTGGATGGGCCCGGAAGCAAACTGGCCCGCAAGCGCTCTGCAAATGTTCAGGGGTGCTCCCAGTTTGTCTCAAGGCAAGTTACATCTTGTTTGTCTCACTCTTCAGTTTCGCACTCTGGAGCTTTGGATGAGCCCCCTCGAAACTCTTTGGGTTTTGAGCGGTTCCTGTTGGCTGCGGGTACTCACGCGATGGGCTCTGGGAGGACCGGCCAGTCGTGGCATGTTTGGGCCCCGGAGGCCCAGTTCCAGAATGTATATTCTTGTTTGTTTGCTTCCCTTTGAGCCTCTGGTAAAATGTAACATGTACCCTAAGTCTACCCTAGAAAAAACAAAATCCGGATGAACCGTTCATCCCGAAAAAAAAATGAGGCACCTCCTCCACGGCGAGGCTCTGCTCCGCGGACAGCTTCATCTCCTTCACCAGGTCTGACACCTGGCCGCTGGGATAAGTCTCCTTTGAAGCTGCCTGCGGCCACCTTTTTTGGGGGGGGCCTTTGGCATGGACAACTTTCCCATCCCCCTCTGGCCTCCCTGTGAAGAAAACACGAAAAAGGCTGGTTGCTATTTAGCCTTGTCTGAAGCTGAAGCCAAGGCCCGCAGAGAAACTCTGTGTCCAGGTGCCGTTTCACTGAGCGCACTGGGCTTCACAATGGGCTCAGGCAAAACGGAACCTGTGGCTGTCCAAAATCCATAACTGCATGATCACCCAACCACAGGTAAGCAAGCCTTTTGACAATGGCTCGTGTGTGCTCTCTAGGCGTCAACCAGGCGCCCTGCATAGGCGATGTTTACAAAAACCACGAGGAAACATGGGAGTCAACACATGTTGTTTGTTGAAAGTAAACCGAGACCACTACCTCTAATGGATTCAGTATTCCGTGAACCTTCAAATGTGAAATGATGCCAGTTGATGGGCGCCAAAAACAGGTAGACATCTTCTAATTCAATATGGGCTTAAGTCTTTAGCAACAGGCAGGAGGCCAACTGTGAGGGGACCAGCACCGCTGCATAGTCGAAAAAGTTAAATCACTTCCCCATTTGACTTCGAAAGGAAATTTGAGCCCCCAAACCACCAATGACAGTAAGGGCTACCCGAAGAAAGACAAATCGAACTCAGAACTCTCGAAGTGTCCACAAAAATGAGGTCAAGCCAACCCCACCCCAACCCCACTCATATATAACTACATAGTATCTCCCCCCCAAAAAAGAAAGAACACGACTAGTATATTAACCCCTCCCCCCCCCCAAAAAAAAAGGAAGAAGAAGAAAAAACTGAGAGTAGGGGGGTTTGGGTTGCGTAACGCCTAGAAGCCTAGAAGCCTAGAAGCCTAATACTGGCATCACGCCTAGAAGCCTAGAAGCCTAGAAGCCTAATACTGGCGTCACGCCTAGAAGCCTAGAAGCCTAATACCCGCCTGACGCCTAGAAGGCGAGAAGCCTAGAAGCCTAGAAGCCTAGAAGCCTAATACTGGCGTCACGCCTAGAAGCCTAGAAGCCCTAGAAGCCTATACGCTTTACCATTTTTGTTGCGCTTCTGCGCCTTTGCACTTTTCTGCACTTACACGCTCACGCTTTATTGCGCCTCATTAAGCTTCTACGCTTCTGCGCTTAATTGCGCTTCTGCGCCTAATTGCGCTTCTACGCTTCTGGGCTTAATTGCGCTTTTGCGCTTCTGCGCTTAATTGCGCTTCTACGCTTCTGCGCTTAATTGCGCTTCTGCGCTTTACTGCGCTTTACTGCGCTTAATTGCGCTTCTACGTTCCTGCGCTTAATTGCGCTTTTGCGCTTCTGCGCTTAATTGCGCTTCTACGCTTCTGCGCTGTACTGCGCTTTTGCGCTTCTGCGCTTTATTGCGTTATTGCGCTTCTGCGCTTCTACGCTTTATTGCGCTTCTATGCCGCTTAATTGCGCTTGCACGCGCTTATTTGCGCTTCTACTCTTTATTTGCGCTTCTAACATTTACATCGCCTTACTGCGCTCCTACGCTTTACTGCGCATCTACGCCTCTACGCTTAATTGCGCAATGACTATTCAGGTTGATAAATCACCATTTAAGAAAATACACCCTCCGTGTCCGACGGTGAAACAGGAGGACAAATATTACGGATCAGAAACAAGCAAATTAACTCAAGCGGCATGAGGTCCTGACGGGAATAGGCGCTTTATGATCTGCTAAGATCTTCCGTCTCCACTGGCCATCGCTCTCGCGAGGCAACACCTACACCTGTACATCGGATCTCTGGCAAATATGAACAATAATGAAATGGATTGAGATTTGAACAAGTAAATTGATGTCTGCCATAGTTCCTGATGGAAAGCAGCGCCAGTTCCAGTTGCGGGGATGCGTCCAGGGTTGTTGATCTTCTTCCCGCCATGAGTCCCACGATTGGTTCCAGCCGCTCCAGTAGGTGTGTTTGCCACTGCCAGAGGTGTGGGATAGGCCTCCTTGTCACACCCACAACGCCAGGGAGAGGGGTCTTGCCAGCACCTGAATGTGCTCTCACTCTCGACGAAAATTAGCAGATCAACCAGAAGTCTGCAAAAATCGTCCGCCGTGGCAGACACACATATCGTCGGGGTTGCTCTCCTCGACTTCCTCCTGCAATGCCACCGCTAGCCGTGCTGCGTACCTTGGAAGATCATCTCCTTGGCGCGCTCAAAGCTCAGGGTGACGCAGCGGGCCACTTTCTGGACAAACTCAAGCGCAGAAGGCGTCAGGTCTCCCCGCGGAGCGCTGTAGGCAGAAAACGGGTCGGTGATGAGGCGCTCGTAAAGACTTTTGCAACCCTGCCCCACAAGACAGAGCTTTCATAATGCCCAAGCCTCCTTGGCCGCTCCTAAGAGTCCATGTGCTGCGTCAATATCTGGGTTTCGATTTGCTCCATGATTCAGGGAACGGCCATCTCTTCAAGACGCGCAACACGTGCCACTTTCTTGATGTCCGGCATTTTCTCCTGCAGAACGTCGCATTGAAGCAATGAGTTGAGACGGGCACATTTATCGGGGAGTGCGAGGACACGTCGCGCGGCCATGCCTACCTAACGGTAGTGCCTGGGACAGGCTTGAACGCAAGGCCGGGGGGGCCAGGGCCTCTGACTCACTCAAACACCGTCCTGCCGTTGAACTTGCGGAGACGGTTTCGTTTCTGGAGTTCACTTCCCTTCTCGGCACAAATCTCGAATATTTTGCCAACGTGACTTCTTTTTGGCCTCTTTTGCCGACTTGCAACCATTCACGCACAGTGTTATAGTCCCACGCGCCCTTGCTTTCAAAAACTGCCATTCAAGATTGAAGCATAGAAGCCGCCAAAGTCTACGTCGCTGAGAGGCCCACAAGCCTAGAAGCCTAAAGCCGAGTCACGCCTGGAAGCCTAGAAGCTCTGCTGCGCTTCTGCGCTTTTACGCTTCTGCGCTTAAATGCGCTTCTACGCTTCTGCGCTGTCTTGCGCTTTTACGCTTCTGCGCTTAAATGCGCTTCTACGCTTCTACGCTTAATTGCGCTTTTGCGCTTCTGCGCTTAATTGCGCTTCTACGCTTCTGCGCTTAATTGCGCTTCTATGCTTAATTGCGCTTTTGCGCTTCTGCGCTTAATTGCGCTTCTACGCTTCTGCGCTTAATTGCGCTTTTGCGCTTAATTGCGCTTTTACGCTTTTGCGCTTAATTGCGCTTCTACGCTTCTGCGCTTAATTGCGCTTTTGCGCTTAATTGCGCTTCTACGCTTCTGCGCTTAATTGCGCTTCTACGCTTCTGCGCGTTGTTGCGCTTCTACGCTTTTTTGCGTTGTGCGCTTCTGCACTTTAGCTCGCTCTGCGCTTTGCTCCGCTTGTTCTGTGCTGCGCTTCTGTGCTTTGCTGCGCCTCGCTCCCCGTCGGCGCTTCTGCGATTTATTGCGCTTCTGCGCTTCTGCGCTTCTCGGCTTCTGCGATTTATTGCGCTTCTGCGCTTCTCGGCTTTTGCGGTTTATTGCGCTTCTGCGCTTCTGCGCTTCTCGGCTTCTGAGGTTTATTGCGCTTCTGCGCTTCGCGGCTTCGCCGCTTGACACACCCGGGCTGCAACCCAAATCCCCTTGCAATGAAAACGGGAAAGAAAAGAACAACTACACCCACCCTAACCCCAAGACCTCCTCCCCCAAGCCCTCCTTTTCGCACCTGCGCGTCGGTCACGGTGCCGCTCCCCTCCGTCTCCGCCTTCACGAAGCGCTCGCGGAGCTGGGCCACCTGGGCGAGCGGGCGAGCGGGGGTGGAGGTGGCCTCCGAACGGTTCTCGGCCCCAAAATGAGACCAGAGGTCCAGTAGGTTCCCTTGAAAAAACCACCAGGGGAAAGCAGTGGTGATGGATTCCCTTGAAAAAAACCGCCAGGTTTTGAAAACAAGAAGTCTGCCTAGACTAGGTCCTCTAGATAAGAAGCTTGTTACTTTAGGTTATTCTGCCCACTAAACCCATGTAGTAAATAGTCATTCTTAAGCTAGGTCATCCAGATTTGAGAGGTTCGAAAAAGTTGGTGCCCGCTTTTTTTTCTGTAGTCTATTTTAGTAGGGGAACCGAATCTCCCCAAAAAAAGGGGAGAGAAGGGTACTACTGGGGGACCTAGTAGAGGTACCTTCCGAATCCGAGTGGTCTCTCCTTTTTTGAGGGTGCCCATTTTGGGGAGTTTTTCTCGAGGTACCTTCCAACCATTCTTTCCAGGGATCCTGCTTTCTAGAAAACCTCCGGAAAGTTTATTCTAGAATAATAGCTCGAATATTCGCCAACAACTCAATAATGATGGCAAGAACTTGGAATATTCTCAGCCCTGGTTACAGAGGACATACAACCATTCTAGCACTTCCATTCTTTCCAGGGATCCGAATCGTTCTGGAAAACCTCCTTTGAAACCCAGGGAGAACGGATCCGGTTTTTGGAAAGAACGATGGTTGAAAAGAATGGGGAATCAACCCCTATAGGCTCATGTGGGTATGCCACGCAGGTACGTCGTCTTTTAGCTTGTCCCTTTTGCGTTTCCGACTCAAACAAATACTACAAAACCACAGAAAAAAGAAAAACACCTCTTGGGTACAGCTACGTCCTAGGCGCCTGCTTCAGGTTGTTCCCCTTGCTTTTCCGTTTGAACCCAACCCAAAGAAACCAGAGGAAAAGAGAGCGTGCCCTCAAAAAGGCAAAAGGCACAGCAAGGAGAGCCAGCTCCAAATGGCTTGGGTTGGATCCGAGGTTCCATGTTTTTTTGAAAATTGGGAAGCCAGGTTCCTTGTGTAGCCCAAGGTAAGGATTGAGGATTACATTGGAATAGCCCAGCTCAAGGGGAATCCCGCCAAATCCCACACCGGCCCTCCTACTTGGATTGGGTAGGCAGGTTGGGGGGAATTGCTCCATACCCCGTTTGGTGCTTGGGTTTCGTAGGGATCCTTAGGCACTAGGGGGAGAAATTTGGAGGAATTACCAACTCAAGAATCTCCGCAATGCATCTTCTTGCCAGCGCTGAGCCCCTTGTTCCATAACCTCACTGGCCCAAAAGACCCAAAATGAACAAAAACGGGGAACAAAAGGTCACGTCAGGTCGATTTGCTTTGGCAAGCGCGTGCCCTTTGGAATGCATTCGCAACGCCGTGGTGAAACACCATTGCCCTGGGTGATGGTCATTACTGTCAGTACCTACTGATTCAGACCAATGCCCGCAAGATGGTCCTTTGCCCCAATGACCAGCCACTGCCCTTCCAACAATGGAAGTCGACCAAACGGAAAGTCGTCTTTCACAACCCTCTCAGCTTCCATGAGTGCACGGTATGCGGCTGCGGTTGCCATTGGAGCTCTCTGGCCAAAAGCACCAGCTGGCAAATCAACAGATCTGGGCAAATGCATTTAATTCGCAAATTAGAAACTATTTCATGAGACATCCTCGAGTTCTCGGTTTTTACCCCCCCCCCCCCCCCCGTGTGCGCTCGCTTGACGTTGGCCAGAACACCCAGGGAGCCAGCCACAAGAGTCAAAGCCACGCACTCAAGGCCCGCACCTGTGCAGAGCTGAAGCCCGCCTCGCGGAAAAGAAAAAAGCATCGAGGGGACTGGGGGGAAAAAAAAAGAATCCCTGCACCTCAAAACTCTCAAAACTTGGCTGCTTTCTGCTCCCCTGCTAACAGTTTCACTTTTAGTGATTTAATTCGGAAAACTCATTAGTTGGCAAAAAGTTAAAGCCCTAACATCCAAGCAAAATGCACCTCAAAAAACACACTCTTGTACAGGGGGCAAATTTGCCATGGGATTCACATGGAAGCCAGAAACTCCATCACCCAAGCGGGGCCCAGGACCCATTTCAGAATTCCAATAGCCAAGCCTTGCATATCGAGTTGGTACCCACGTTGGGGCACCTATCAAGGGTCATACAAATACGTCCCTTGATGCTATCGCCGTTTTTTCAAAGGTCATCCTGTCATCAGGGTTTCCTTGTTCCCCTCCCCGCTTCAACACTACCCCACCAAAAGAAGACACAATGGGCCCGAAACCTCCCCGGATCCCCCCCCGACGCCCAAGAGTTGCTGTTTTTCTTGACACCTTCCTTGAGACAATTGGCTAAGGCGAGGAACCCTTCCTTCCAATGGCAGCCAATTGGAGGGCGTCTTCTTTAGTCTAGGGCGCCCCATGTTGCGTAAACGGTTTAATCATTTGAAGGGAACCCATGTTTGTTTTTTTGGTCAAATTTCCCCTAGAACCCTAGGGTTCAACCCCCATCAAAAGAATGGTTGACCCAATTTGGATGATGACAATCCTTATATAAACAATGGCGGTTGTATATTATATGAAACCACTTGTTTTATTTGTTTAAGAGCTTTGCATAGGGGGCCACGACCCGAGTTGCAGCCCTTCTCTCCCTCTGCCGCTGGAGAAAAAACTATGGGAAGCGGCGGTGCAGAGGGAGGGGGTTGAGACAGACATGGGAGGGAGCTTGGACAGCCATGCCGGAGAAAAAAAACGGTTCTTGGGAGAGCTCTGCAAAATTGCTCTTCGAAGCGTAAGGGAAACAAGAAAGCCCGCACATTCTGTCCAGGAGAAAATGTAAGAAGCACTTTCAGCATCTCGGTACTGATTTGCTTTATCTCCTTTTGAGGGTACCCCTTGTTGAGTGGTTGTAAAGGGAAACCAAAAGGAAAGGGCCGGGGTGTAAAAAAAAAACAGAGTCACCCCCCATTGGTGCCACCCATTCCTTAGGGAGTGATACATTGGGCCCGCGGACGAACTGGATCCAACCACCGGCCTCCTTGATGATCTGCTCTTCCAGTGCCCAAGCTTCCTGCCGATCCGATCGGAGGGGTCGAACGGATCGGGCGGCTGCGGGCTGGAAAAAAGGCTGCGAGAAAAGAAGAAAAAAACACTTTTGCATCGTAACGGCCATGGAAAGCTCGTGCGGAACAAGGACAATGGTTCCAGAGTCAAACTTGTTCGGCGTCCTGGTCTGCGTTCATTGTGTGAACCATTCCCTCGGTGCATTCTAGTGAGTACACCAAAACTCCTGATGCTTCCCCTTGTTTGAGGATACCCTTTTTGGGGCTTCGGTGGAAGCCAAAGGGAAAGCTTCATTCAGATCGCTCAATGTTCAGACCCTCTGGTGAGTTCCTGCAAAGGGGTACTGACTACTTGTGTCCCACGCCCCCGAGTATGGTTTCCCAAGTCCCTACACCTCACGAGTGAATTGGTCCAAAGAGGCGTGTCCAAGCATCTTTCATCCAAAAAAAGGAAAGAGGTCCAAGCCCAAAAAGCGGCGCAAGCCTAGGGCGTGAGCTACAGCAACGCTCAAAAAGTACGGCGCCTCGGCTCGAGCGTCATCGTACCTCAATGGTGAGGGCGCCGGCCAAACCGAAACCCCAAGACCAGTCCATTGGCCGGTTGGGTTCTCACACCAACCCCCTGAGGTGCGTTCAAACGGGAACCAATTAGACACAACATGTTTGCGTTTTTAGTTTGAGAAACACCCTCTTGCGCTAATGGAAATCTTTAGAAAATAGTGAGCCCCCTGCCTTTCGTGGGATATTGAGCGAGTTCCGCCAGGTCCGCCTGAACCTCTCCTAGAGCCCAGCAAAAAAAGAACAAAGTATCCAAGAGCCCGGCAGCCGCACCACCCAGAACATCTCCGACAGCCCCAGGCTGCCATCCACGAAGTTCTCCTGTAGAGAAAGGGGTGGGTGCCAGTTCAAGCTCACCCTCCCCATATACCCTCCTGTCCTTTAACATGGAACCCACCAGAAGGTCCCTTAAAAAGGAAACTAGTCTTCCAGGACCCCTTGGGCAGGTTCCATGCTAATGGACAAGAGGGTAACCACTTTCAAATGGCTGGCAGAAGTGCCAATTTTCGCCCAACCATAGGCTTTACAGAGACAACCACATGCTCCGCCCATTCCCATGCCCCTGTCCCACCCCCAACAGGGGTGCCGGGGGGAGGGGGGTTTCCGGACTTTCCGAGGAACACCTCCCAGGTCCTCCAGTACAAAAGTAAGGGTACCCTTTTTTCTGTAGTCTATTTTGGTAGGGGAAACCTCCCCCAACTACTGGGGGACATAGCCTCTAAAAACCCTTCAGCAGATCAACTCACTTTCCCCTGCTCCTGGATCAGCTCCTGGATCTTCTGTTGCGCAGATTGGGAGTGCTTGGCGCTCTTGAAGAGGTCGTACATGAAGCGCCTCGGTCTTGTAGGGACCGGGTCCCTGTCAGGTTCCATGGCCACGTGGGAGTGGGGGTAATGCTCGCAGCCCGTGGAAAACTGTGCAGCGATGCTTCTCTCACCACCCAGGAAGCGCGTAGCGGCGTAGCGGAGCTGAAGGCGCTGAAGTCAGGCCGCAAAGAGTGGTTGGTGTTTCCTACAATTTTCTGGAAGTGGGGAGGACCATGTTGCTCTTGAACCGGTCCTTCCGGTGGGCATGGGCCATGTGGGTAGGAGGGCAGTGCAAATATATCTTGCGACTGTGCCACTGCTGGCCTGGAAACAGTGCACGTCTGATGGCTGTGAGGCTCCCGGCAAATAAAAAAAACAAGCAACCAACCAACCAACCAACCAGCCAACCAACCAACCAACCAGCCAACCAACCAACCAACCAAGCAAGCAAGCAAGCATGCAAGCAAGCAAGCAAGCATGCAAGCAAGCATGCAAGCAAGCAAAAAGAGTGACCTAAACCAACCAAAGTCAACCGTGGAGAAATTCTCCCCTCCTCCCATCCCCCTCCAGCCCGCTTTAGCTGGAAACCGCCTATACAAGCGAAAGCACCCGTGAAAAGGAAACTACCTCTAAAGGAAAGCCACCTTAAAACCAAATGGCACATCCATTGTAAAGCACCCACTCTAAAATGGGTGTCCATTCGGAAACGCCCAGGAAGAAAAACGATAAACACCAGGAGCCATCTGGGAAACCATTTAAAAAACCCACCCGAAAATGGGTTAACAGGACCCCTCCGGGAGGGGAGCGAGCCATCCGTCCGTCTGTCTCCCGCCCTCCCTCGCTCCCATGCTTTGGGCTTCCCGGCTCGAACTCCTGGGGCTCCACTCGCTTGCCGGCCTCCAGCTTCAAGCTGAACTTGGACCGGATCTTCGCCACCTACGAGCGAGCGAGCGAGCGAGCGAGCGGCGGAGCGAGATCGATCCGGGCGGGATCGATTCATCTGCTCCGATTGGTGTCCCTTTTCTTTGTTGGTTTTCTTTGGAGCCAAACGGGCTTCTTGCTGGTTTTGAGACAGGCGTTTTGCGTCTTCGCCTTGGAGGCCCGGCAGTGTGTCCTGAAAGCGCACGTGTTGGGCCGGCTGGGCCCCACCAACGGAAGTGGCGAGGAAGCTTGCTGGTGTCTCCGCGCGGAGGGAAAAAAACCCACGCAATGTAAGTGGTGGCGGGGGGGGGCGGGGGGGGGGGATTCTTACTTAAACGCCTGGTGAATCACGTCCCCTTTTTGGGCAGAAAGAAAGGCCCATAAACAATCCCCTATGGTTTCCTTGAAGGGAATGACCTAGGTTCATTCCCAACACCCTGGATCATTCCCAACTGTGTCAACTGAGCACCAGCAGGAAAACATCGACCTAGCCAGCCGCAGCACCGACCTTTCTTTTCACTTTCTTGGGCCAAAGCTGGAGGACCGCAACCGAATCTCGAGAATCTGACGACCTTCCAGTTCCCACAGCGGCAAAACGACCTAAACAGTGAACGGAAGGGAACCACCACTGCGCCAAAGTAAATTCCCCCACTCCCAGCAAGACTATAGGTGACCCTTCTGATCCATTGTCGCCATCCTGGTGTTAATTGCATCTGGATCCCTTGCCTTGTTTATTTCGGGTGGTTCGCTGTGAAAACCCGAGAAATCCATCCCCCTACTTTCTGTGGGGGGGGGGTCCCAAGATGTCATTTCCCCAGTTCCTGCCAAAATTCCAACTTTTTACGGGGGGATCAATCTGATCTGGGGCCCAATCCAAGCCACCAAGGGCGACCTGAAACCAAGGCCCAAGGCTATTGCTGGGGGTAACTGAGCGGGGTTGGTGCTTGTTAGTTCTCAGAAGCCCTAAGGGTAACCTGAAGAAAACCAGGGTAACGGGTGGGGACCCACTGTGATGGTGCCGTTCCTCTTGGTTTTCCTTTAAAACCAAAACAAAGGCTACCCCCAACTCACTTCCCCAGTGGATTGGCAAAGTAGTCCGAACTTTCGATTGGCCACTAAACTGACCGGTCTTCCCAAAAAGTGTCAACCTCCAACTGAACTCAGGGAGCGAGGCTCACCGGAAACTTAAAAACTTACCTGGGTTATTACCTCAGCTGGCATAACTACTCCCCCGGGTATTTCCTTCCAAGGCTGTTCCCCCGGATATTTCGGGCGGGTGTTTTCACCAGGCCCCACACGTCTCACCTCCGAGTGACCCAGTGGATTTTGGGGGCGGAGTGAGTTCCGGAGCCCGCCTGCTGGTCCGACAGCCCGGCGCTCTGCCGCAACTTCTTCACCTCGTGGACGCCAAGCTGTACAACCCGAACGGCATGGGCCGTGGCATGAAACCAAGGACTGGGTGGTCGCACCTCTAAAACTGAACAGAACCAAAACAGCTATTTATTTGTTTAGAAGGAAAACCACTCTAACACCTTGCCAACAACAGGATCGTTGTTCGGGGGGTGGGGTTGAAGGTGTCCCTGCAGCACACTGCCCAGGATGGGATGCTCTTTGAATGTGGGGCCCTTTTGGAGGAAGTGTCAAGGGAAGCCACCGGAAACCCAAAATAAACATAGCCCCAAATGCCTTTTGATGGCGGAGGCTAGGTTTCTTCTGTTCTCACCCAAATGCGTCATTTGGGTGCTTACATCATTCAATCATGAATAGGCTCGTCTTAGCCCCAGCTGAGCTTGCTTTGCCGAAAAGGAACTAACCAAGCACCATCAAAACGTATGACAGAAACGACCAGCCGCTACAGTCCTACGGTTCAAGTCTGTGGGATGCTTGGTAAGAAGCATCCGAACACGAAAGGGCACGCAAGTGCCAAAGGAAGATTGGACCTCTGCTTGCATGGAAATTCTACTGACCCCAATTAAATGTTCAAATAAATTTCTTTCTTGGTGCGGGGCTTACAAATTCCCCAAGGTGCACCCACCCACCCACCCACCCACCCACCCACCCACCCACCCACCCACCCACCCACCCAACCACTTGCCCCTGGAAACCGCAGAAGCGACCGTAGCTCTTGACCTGGCCCTGCCCACAGCTCTCTTGGTGCCAGGCTTGACTCTCCTCAGAGGCGGAGAGGCAAATGAGAAGCGAGCGAGCGTGACCCGAATGTAACAAATTGGGCCCCACACCTGGAGTACACCCAGCATATCTTCAAATGCATTATATGTTTCATATGCAGTCAATCCAAATAAAATAGTTTTGGGGACCCCAGACCAACAACCCTTTGGGGGACCCAAGGGAACCCAAACAAGGGGAAAAAGGTCACCACTGAACAACTGACAAACCAGCCAAACAATCACACAAACAGACAGAAAAGCCAACACCCAGCGCGACAGAGGTGGCGTTTTGGACGTAAGTAAATGATACGTACGACCCATCTAAACCCGTGGGACCCACCGTTGCTTTTAACCAAACCTTCCATTTGCTTCTTCGCCCCCTGCAACAAATAAGCAAATATGCCCAGTAGTGAGACTGTTTCCCTTTAAAACCAACAGGGGAAATGTCAGCAAATGGAAGGAATTGGTGTATGTTACATCTATACATGTACATGTATATATATATATATATTCACCTATATATATATATATTCACCTACATATATATATATATATATATGTGTGTGTGTGTGTCCCTAAGCAAATGGACGAACCCCAGCGATTTCCCAAGCCCCCGCGACCTCCGACCTCTGGCGGTGGATTGGAAGACGAGGAGCCCGGAGGAAGCGGAGTATGTTTAAGATCCCGTAGATGTCGGTCTGGCCGTCGCCTCCCGCAGATGCCGCCGCTTCACCGATGTCGTTTTTGTTTTCTCTCCCCCCCCAGGAAATGGCTGGACGGGGGTGGGGGTGTTTGTTTTTTTGGCCGGGAGCTGGCTTAGCGGGGAGCATTTTGGGACCAAAAGTCTTGGAACCTCGGAGCCCAACTAACAGGAGATGGTTCACCGGTATTTCTTTTTGCCAAAAGATGGTTCAGCGGGGCGCAGGATTTGGGGACCAAAAGTCTTTCCCAGGAGATGGTTTAACGGTGTTTCTTGTTGCCCAGATGGTTTAGCGGGGCGCATTTGGGGACCAAAAGTCTTTCCCGGATGGTTTAACGGGGAGCATCTTGAGACTAAAACTTCCTGGAACATCGGAGCCCGACTAATAGGAAACCCCACCTTTTGCTCAGATTCACCAAAAGCAAGTCGCAACTTGTTGTTTGCCACTCTCAGGCATCCAAAGTTGCAACGTACTAGTAGTTTCCATTGAAACGATCGCCACTTTTGGGGGGTTCCTTTTAACGGGAAAATTACTCGGACACCCTGACTACGGTCTTCCCTTTAGCCCATACATGCAGGTCAGCTTTCCGGGGCCATGCTCTGGAGTGCTTCCGAGTGGCCGGTGGAGTCCCCAGGCATCTGCAAGGCCTGTCCGCGCAACTCATGAAACATGCGCCTGCCTATGGGGGTTGATCCATATTCTCGGCCCCCAAATGGGTGTGGCTCAAAATTAAACAGGAGGGGTTACGCAGGCGTTTGTCCATGTTTTCACTTACCAGGGTTCCATTTTGGTACCGGCTTTTTGAGCCACAGCCAAATGATCATGGGTAACTTTTCCCGTTTAGTGGGGAAAGTCATCTTTTATGGTGGTCTCCCTGATGGTCATCCCATGCTCTTGCCCATGTGGAGGTTCAGCAGTCCTGGCCCCCATAATCCCATATGACCATGTGTGCATGTGCGTGTGAGCGCAGTGTACGTGTGCATGTGCGCAAGCGTGCGTGTGTGGGCGTGTGCGCAAGCATGCGTATGTGACCCACCCACATGTTTTTGCTTTTCTGTTGGACTTACCCAGGCGTCTGGTCCCATTCCTGCTGCACAAGCACTGGAAGCCTCGAACTATGGCCTCAGCGCTCCTCCCCGCCTGGTTGAGGATGTTTGGAGGGGGCGAGTACCCGATCTTGTTCAGCATCGTCTTCATGTCCGCCTCTGGCACATGTGGACCTGCGGCGCGCGGCTTTTTATCGTTGCAGTTTTGGGCATCATGAGATTGCACAACCAGTCCTTCCCTCCCCCCCCCCCGGATCCCTTTAGCAAAAACGAGTCCGCACTTTTCATTTGCAACTAAAATGGATGTCCCAAAAAGTGTAACCTCGTAGATGATGATGTGGAGGGCATTCGCCCCCAACCCAACAACCCCAAATCAATTACATCAACTACAGGAAGACAAAACCAGACCCCTGCTTTCCCACTGAAGACATCAGTTTGACCGCCACTTTTTGGTTGTTCAAAGGAGTCAGCCAGCGCCTGAGTGGGAGTGCTGCAGCTTCGCCAGCAGGATCTGGGCTGCCGAGGTCTCCTGACTCCCCACGCGGCAAAAACGAGCGTTGTTTTTTTTGGTGCATTTCGGGGGAACGACATGACGGCCCAAAAAACAACAGCGGGACGGCAGGTGTTAGCCCATGGGGACTGAAAGATAACCAGGGGACCGCATTTACCAGTTCCGTTTTGGGGTACCTATTTCTGACCCACTGCCAAATGAAACTGCGGGCCGGTGAGACAACCACAGTTGCTTTCAAAAGTTCGACCCGAAACGCAGGAAAGCATGAACCATGTCGTTTTGGTGACTGAGAGCGCACCAAAAAGGGGACCAAGGGCACAAGGACTGCCAAGAGGAACCTCGCTTTCATACAGCCTCTCCCAAAAGAAGTTGGTCGGGTGCCCAAAAAGATTCTACTTGGCACCCAGCCACCTTATCATGCAACCCACTGGCGTCCTCAAGCCAACCATTCTCCTGCCTGTTTCCATGTGAGCTCATTTCTTCAGAGGACGTTTTGGGAAGCTGTTTTAGTGGCAGTCCAATTCGGAAAATCCCACAAGGTGTCAACCAACAAGTTGCTAGCAATCAAGCATTTAGGTGGGGAGCTGTGTCTGAATCGGTTTCCTATTGAAATTTCATAGCCCTTTTCGTCCCATTGCCACGGAAAACTGTGTGTTTTGGTGGTAGCCTTGCCTTCTGCGGACTGCTTGGCACACCAAAAGGTCAGATCCGGTCGATCTCGCTTTGAACAACTGAGTGAGTCAAAACCAAAGGAGGTATGGTTCCAAACGCCGCCTTCTTCGGAAACCCGGGGGACGAAAGGATATTCCTCGGAGGGCTAGGCCTGGCTGGCTCCGATCAGCAAGTTCTACCAAGGGATACCTTCAGGGCTGAAAGCCCACGGCTGAACGTTCCAAAAATTGGCACTAGGTCCTCCAGTGGAGAGGTTAGAATAAGGGTGCCCGATTTCTATAGTCTATTTTAGGGGAACCCTCCCCAAAAAAATCGGAGAGAAGGGCACTACTGGGGGATCCCGCCTCTTTTCCGCCACGTTGAGTCTATTGCGGCACGCGGCAAGCCGCGGCCAGCTTTAAAGGAGGTCAAAAGCACCGGGCTCGAAGTTGCATCCAAAATGCGGCAGCGGACAGGGACCAAAAGACACGAGCCGGGACGAACCGCTAAAAATGGCCCCCAAAATATTTTAGCGTTTGTCCTGTTGGTTGCCCTTTAAACCAACCAAAAAGGCTCAAAAAAGACGCGCCCAAATGAATAGTAACCACAATTGTAACGCCAAAGCCCTGCTTGTAAGCCCTTTCAGCGGGAAACCAAGGCAAAGATAAGGATTTAGCCGCACCTTTGCCCCGGGCGACTTTTGGCCGGGCTTTCTCGCGCTGCCAGGGACAAGTGACGCCATCCCTGAAACTGACTTTGTCGGCACAAAATGTGTTCCCCTCTTTTACTCTTTTTCCGCCTGGCGGGGGAAAAGGTGGCGCCCAAACCCAAAAAAACGGCACCCAAAAGAACCCGAGAAAGCCCCTGACGGCCAGAAGGCTTAAATCGATCGCATATTGGCCTTTGGGCCCTTGACAACCATCTACCCGGACCTGGAGTTAACAGGTGAACCTTCTACCCTAAATGGGAGTGCGACAGGAAAACCGAAAAAGGATCAGATCAAAAGGTCGACTCACCTTCAACCGGCTTACAATGCTCAGTTCCCTTGGGTTGTAACCACCAATCCCTTGAGGACAATGCCATCCATTTTGTTTTCTTTTAAAAACACAAAATGGCTGTGGGTACCCCAAATCGAACCCTCGAAAATGGAAACATGGACTAAAACCTGCGGTCCAATTCCTGGTGGTTTAATTTTGACCCATACCCAACTATATATATATATACACATACACCCAAATATATATATATATACATATATATATACATATATATATATGTATATATATATTTCCAGACGCCTCAGTGTGGCTGCGGTGACCCTGGCCCATTCGCCTGCCCCGAGGAACTGGCAGCCGGCCCGAACCGTTGGCTCAGGCTCCGCGGGGCCCACCCGGGCTACAGCTCCGCCCGGGGCAGGCGGGGGCCCCGGTTCTCCAAGGCCCTCAGAAGCTCCGGGGTGCACGCCGCCGGGTGCTTCAGCTGCGCCTAAAACAAACAAAAAAAAAACGGCCCCCGGGTCGGTTTGGTGCTCTCCACGGTTTGTTTTTATTTTTTTGGTGTGGGGGAGAAAATGCGGGCGAGGCATGTTGGCTTTTTTCGCGCTGTTTTGTATGTTTGCTACACGCTTTTTTATCCGGCGATCTTGCATTTGCTGCTTCGCGCCGTGGGGAAAATACGAACATATGTACCATAATAGTAGGTTTCCTGTAAACCCAACAGGGGAAAGTACAAAAATAGTCTTAAGCAAATGGAGATGTATGTATTAGCCATGTTGGCTAGGTTCCCCACCCGAAGAGGTGATCCACTTCAGGGCCCTTTGCGCCCTCCATCGCCCTCCCTCATGGCTCCTTGAGCTTCACTCGAGGCTCGGGAGCCTTGGGCCAAGAGGCCATCTTCAGCGACCAGTTGCTGAAGGAGTTTCGGTTCTCAGTTTCAGCTTCCTCGGTTGCGAAGTCTGCGAAGCCCTGCTAAAAGTTTCACTTTCCTTTTGTGGTTTAATATGGAAAACTCATTTGTTGGCAAAAAGTGAAAGTCCTAACAAAGCAAAATGGGCCAAAGGTTCGGTGAAGTCACCAGGTGACCTCTTGTTTCCAGGTTCTTGGGAAGAGTGAGCACGGATGAGGCTATTATTCCAAACCGGGTTCCTCAAAGCATCAAACTCCAAGAGTCACATGATTTACAAGATTTGAACTTGGCCTGAAGGGAAACAAAAAGAACCAACCAACCCAACGGCCTCGGAGAAAAAAAAAGAAAGAAGAACAAAAACTAAACTCCCGCGCGCGGCCTCGGAGCTCCTTTAGCCCCCCCCCCCGGAACAGCTCCGCTTTTCTTTTTTTTTTCTCGGGTGCCTTCCCACCCGCCCATTCGCCTCGTAGGAGCAGCGGCTGGGCTCGTAGACGTCGAGCAGCTCCTCGGCGCCGCACTGGAACTTCACCCTGAGACTCCGCTCCTCGGAGCCGCGGAACGGGCGCGGCGGGGAGGGGAAGGGGTCGGGGGGGGGGGGGGGGGGGGCGTTCTTTTTTGGTTTTCCCCCCCCCCCCCGGTGGGAACGGTCTTTCAGGGGATAAGTCCAAAAGGTGGATGCCACTTGGATGTCCGTAGCCAAGGTAAGAATGGGAATAACTTGGGGAACTGGGGGTTGGCCCCCTTTTTGTTATTATTATGACTTCTAAGTTGTAACACACTTGCTAAGTTGGTTGAACATCCAAGCAAAGGCCCCAATGTGTGTATGCGTGTGTGTCTTCACTTTTGCTGGGCTCTTTTCGTGATGTGTTTCACTTTTCTTTGCTGGCGCGTCGGATCCACGTAAAGGTACACCCTCCCCCCATCAAATTCAACCAAGGCTCCAAAGGACCGCAAAGGCAGTGTCCTGTTGACTTCTAAAACCCGTCTTTGGGGAACCTGTTGCTCAATGATCCTCCTTGTCGTTCCCCTTGCAAAGTGAAACAAATCTGGTCCAACCCTCTGGCTCCTCTAGTCATCACTTCATTTGGTTGTACAGTCGGTGCGGGTCACGTGATTACTTGCCCATCTGGGTGCGTCTTAGAACATGGGGCCTGTTAAAAAATGTGGTTCTCCTTTTCGTTCCAGGTCAGCTCTCTCTCACTACCACGTCACCCACCCACCCACCCACCCACCCACCGACCCACCAACCAATCGACCAACCAAACAAAACAAACAAAACAAACAAACAACCAAACAAAGAAACAAACAAACAACCACCCACCCAACCCAACCCAACCCAACCCAACCCAACCCAACCCAACCCAACAAACCAACCAACCAACCAACCAACCAACCAACCAACCAACCAACCAACCAACCAACCAACCAACCAACCAACCAACCAACCCCTTCACCCCAACCTTCACCCAACCTTCACCCAACCTTCAACCAACCTTCAACCAACCTTCAACCAACCTTCAAACCAACCAACCATCCAACCTTCCAACAAACCAACCAACCAACCAACCAACCAACCAACCAACCAACCAACCAACCAACCAACCAACCAACCAACCAACCAACCAGCCCCTTCACCCAACCTTCACCCAACCTTCACCCAACCTTCAACCAACCTTCAACCAACCTTCAACCAACCTTCAACCAACCTTCAAACCAACCAACCAACCAACCAACCAACCAACCAACCATCCAACCATCCAACCAACCAACCAACCAACCAACCAACCAACCAACCAACCAACCAACCAACCAGCCAACCAACCAACCAACCAGCCAACCAACCATACCAAAAAAACAAACAAACAGAAAATCAAAAAGCATCCTTAAACCAAAGAACCACCCAGGACGGCGCACCTCACAGGTCAGATGAACAAACTCCGAAAGACACTGATGAAAGCACACCTCGCGACGGCCTCTGATCTTCCCTTCCAAGGCTCCGGGCCGCCCGGGCAGTACTGGCCATTGGCGAAGCTCGCCACCCGACCCTCCCAGCCCTTCCAGCGGCCGATGGAGGTGTGGTCCTGGCGAGCGGCTCGCTCGCTCGCCCGTCACCCCAAAGGGGTTGAAAACGCCCCCCGCTCGGGCGGCCCAACTCGCCTTTTTCTGATTCTTGGAGTTGGCACCTCGTTTGCTTTTTCTCCCCCCCTGGGTTACGACCAGGAAGACTATCCATGTGGGTGCATTTTCCTTGGAGGTGGTCCTCTTTCTGGGCTTTTTAAAGAAGGAATCCAGCCGTTTCAAGGAGCCAAGAATTGCCGCACTTTGGGCTCTGCGAGACCCCAAAAAAGGCAGGCCGGGCCCCACACACCTGTTCATGTTCCAGCTCCGACGTTGCGACACCAAAAGAAACCAACCTTTTTCTTTAGGGGGTTCCCCGTTTTGAGACACCCGCGTCAAGTCCA